AGGGGAATCCGAACCAGTGGGGGCAAGCTTAGTGCACCCACTGGGTGTAGTCCCCGAGACTGCAGTCGACTGCTGGCAGTCGGTTGGGGTCTAAGTAGTCTTGAAGTTTTATTCATTAGGAAATAAATAATCTTTGATCTTGTCGATTGATATGTCTTTTACTCACTATAGAAATCTTGTTGCTGATCTCCAAGTTCGCCGAATTTGAGGAAAAGTAAAGGCAACTCAACCTTGACCTGGAGTTGGCTCAGCAGAACTTGAAGAAGGCTCAAGATGAAGTCGCTGGTGCTGAAGGTAACAGCCTGTCGACTGCTTATCTTAACCATCTCTCAAGTTATCTCTTCATTCTTCTGTTTGATCTAAATGTGTATTTTGCAGAGAAAATGAGGCTGGCCCTAGAGAAGAAGGATCTGGACCTTACAGCTGCGCAAAAGGAGGCTCAGGAGAAGACTGCCCTTGCTGACCAGAAACTGGCTTCGGTCGGAGCACTGGAGGAAGAAATCAACAAGCTGAAGTCGTCTCTCACTGAATCCAATCGAGAGCTGACTCATTTGAAAAAAGATAAAGTGGCTCTGACCGACCAGCTGGAGAGCATGACTCGCAGGAGGAATGATTTGGAGGCTTATCTGAAAGCTCTCGCCAAGAAACTCTTTATTATGCTCGAAGGTACCTCTTTTTTACTCGACTGTTTTACTATTTGCAAGTTGGACCCGACTAGTCGACTAATTAACTCTGTGACTCTGCAGAATTCTGCCAAAACTTTGAAGAGGAGACTGGACGGGTCGAGACAGGCTTGGACCCTATCTTTTCTCCAGTCGGTGACGAGGCTGCCATGAATGTGCTTCGACTGGAATCTCGCATCGCCAGAGTTACAAGTTATCTTGCTCGTCTGAAGGTTGCAGTTTCATGCATCGACTCATCACTCTGGCCGAGGGCAACGCTTCAGAATGATATTGAGACTCTGATGGCTCGACTCAACGAGATCCCTGGTCGAGTGCAGGAATGGAAGAAGTCCTCTGCCTGATGTGGTGCCGACATGGCCCTGCCACTGGTCAGGGTCCACTGTCAAGAAGCTCGAGAGGAGAAGTTGGCGGAGATCAAGGTCGCCAACACAAAAAGGCATGACTTCCAATCCTTCATGGAGACTTTTATTGCTGCTGCCACTCGGATCGCGGACGGGAGTGATTTGGACGAGTTCGTCGAGCCTGCAAGTCCTCCTCCCGCCGAGTGAACAAACTTGATACTTAAACTTGCTTTAAATTTGTCTTGGAATGTCGAGTGGTTTTTGTAACCGTTAAACTCCTTTGGGCCTGACGCCCGAGTACTTTTAACTTCGTTCTGAAACTCTTGAGATTTTATCTGATCTTGGTTTATCTTCTGCATGTGCTTGCGTTTGCCTTCGAGTGGAATTTAATCTTCACTCGGAATATTTTTTGAGATGCAACTCTGAGGGAGATATCTCAGTTGACCTGCACCTTGTCGTCCTTGCAGATAGGGATGGAGCGGACATTGTACTTGTGGAGCAGCTCCGTGGAGAGGATTGCAATCGACCTGCACCTCATCGTCCTTGCGGATAGGGATGGAGCGGACGTTGTACTTGTGGCGCAGCTCCGTGGAGAGGATTGCAGTCGACCTGCACCTCGTCGTGCTTGCGGATGGGGATGGAGCGAACATTGTACATGTGGCGCAGCTCC